ATTAAAATATAACTTTTGTTACGATCTATACAGTATGTACTTATGGTATCTTGAAGACTTGCAGTTGTATGCTTGGGTTGGGATTTAATTTTATTTATTATCGGATCTCAAGCAGATGGTAGCACCCAGCCATCTTCTCTATTGATATGAGGATGTTTTTTGATTTCAATAGCCTCGCGAATCATCCTTGGAAGGAATCGGTGTTCTTTAGCGAGGATTTGCGGTCTATCAAATCTGATGTAGTGACGGGGGCGATCCTGTACGTGTTCACAGACTGCAGACTTCCCGGAGCGTCGATTCTTCACATCAGCTATATGACGCTCCGGGAAGTCTGCAGTCTGTGAACACGTACAGGATCGCCCCCGTCACTACATAAGATTTGATAGACCGCAAATCCTCGCTAAAGAACACCGATTCCTTCCAAGTTACCATAAGTTCATACTGTATAGATCGGAACAAAAGTTAAATTTTAATCTATGGTAACCGCGGTTAACTATGACATATGGACGTTGAACATCTCAGTCCCGCCCGTGACCATGAGTGCTGTAAAGCGTTCGAAACGTCGGGTATTTAAAAAGTTAAATATACGCGATAAATTGTGTAAAAACTAGTATTATTTCAGTTTTAGGTTAACTTCATCCATGCCCATCATACAAATTATTCTTCTTTTAGAAGGTTTGTGTAACATTCGCGGTAGAGATGATGGAGTGATCTTATTACTAGAGGGAAACAATGTGTGAGCTCTTAAACTATATTATAATTAGCATCCCAACATTTTAATACCTAATAATAAACACCTTACATAAGAAGTTGTTCTAGACAACAAAACAAGCATATTTTTAATACAATTCACGAAATAAGGTAATTAAATTTTCTAAAATATCATCATTTTCGTGTTCAAAAATAAAATTATATGCCGCTTCCATTTTATTTGACCAACTGACAACCAATTTTACAGCCGTTAAAAGCATTAACGGACCTTTGGAGCAGTCATTAAGTTTAACGCCTAGTTAAGAGAATTAACCATTCGTTAGTACGTGGTGAAATACTCACTACGCCTAACGGACTTTTATCTATTTAATTGGACGTTAAAACTAACAAACAGCGTATGGTGAAACTAGCTCATAATGACGCTACGATAACGCTTATTTCACCTCGTCCAGAAGAGCCCACATTGCCACTGCCAGGATGCAACGTCTGCTGGACCTGTTGCCACCATGGCTAGATGAGTGGAGGATGGTCGTCAACGTTATTAAGACGACCGCTCTGCTCACCCGCCGCCTCAGGAACCTACCACCTCCGCTAACCCTCAATGGCCAGAAGATCGCGTACGAGAAAGCCGTGACCTACCTTGGGTGCCGGATCGACCGGGCGCTGCGCATGACTGCGCACGTCGACTTCGTCGTCCGCAGAGCACGATATGCGCGGGCGATGCTCCGTCCGGTCCTGGCATCCAAGTTACCACTTAAGACCAAAGTGAAGATTTTCAAATTGTACATCAGACCCATCATCACGTACGCATCATCATCACGTTCCGGCCTGGTACGCGCTTCTGAGCGAGCCTCTGAGGCGGCGACCCAGCCCAGCAAAATTTGACGTTAAGAACCATTATCGGTACGGGTCGCTACGTCCGGAATGATGTCATAGCGCCAACTTGAAGATCGAAACCATCCAGGAATTTGTGGCCCGGTTGGCGCGCGGACTGTTCGACCGCGCAGACAACGGGCCACACTTACACCTCAACAATTTAGCGCCGCTACACACTCGCCCTCCGGACGGGCGACCCTATCCAAGAGAACTCCTCTCTATATCGATTAGAGAGTCGAGTAACAACCCACAATGCCGCAGATAGGCCAACTTTGACATCCCAAGATAACCTCCTTTTTTGCAGTCTTAACCGACTGCGAAAATGTTTTCACCAATTACGGACGAAACCCGAACATCATCCAACAATGCCTGAATAAGGCTTCCAGGACCGGTCCATAGTAGTGGACCGCGAGGACAATCCGGGTAATGGGGGCATACCCCGAGGCCCGAGACCTGCAGGACCCCACAGTCCATGCGGAAGACAATACGAAAACACCCAATTACTAATTTTTTCAATATTCCCATCAGTAGAACCAATTTAGGCAAGTTTTCCCTGTTAATCAGATGTATGCGAACTTACAACAATCATGACATCGACATCTTTAGCGACGCTGAACGTGTATTTAAAAGAAAACGTAAAGTCTTACTGTTATCTGCCTTACCAGATTAATGATTCAAAATTATTATTTATTGTAATTATTACTGGATGTGGTGCTCTTACTTTGATTGGTTAATTTAATTTGCTTTTGTTTTAGAGTTTACATGTTGTTTAGTTTTTTTTTGCTCTTATAATGATGTATTATACACCTGTAAAGATATATCCTTTATCTAAAAATTTAGTATTTTGAATGTAACAATGTTTGTTGATATTGTCGATGGTGTATCTATTGAAATAAATAAATAAATAAATAAATAAGCAATTAACCGTAGACAGAGAAACCAATAGACTAATGATTACCGTGGCCTCGAGTGAGAAAGGACGATAACGTAGTTTTAGGTTATACAATAACCTTTATGACTTTTAAACATATTTAGATAAAAAAAAATTAATTTTTATAACCACTAGCACGTCCGTTGAGAGTATAGTAGCCAAACAAAATATGCCGTCGTCCGTCCGGCATAGTATACTATCCAAAACAACACGTTGTAAATATTGCCATCTAGTTTAAAAATGCCGAAAAAAATGCACGTTGTGCTTGACAAAAATGATAATCTATGAAATACATCCCTAGCAATAACAGAAGAGAGCAGTGTTTAGTGTTTGGGTGCATAGAATTAAAAATAACAACTTCAGTCAACTTGTCACGAAGGTGTTTCGGAGCACCAGCGATTATGTCGTAAGTATTTCGTATTTTTTTTTACTTAATTTTTAGATTATTGTACCTCAAAATGAACTTCAGAATTTGTACTTTGTGATAATACTTAGGCGATAAAGTTGCACGTACTAAATCGGCTCTAATTTGAACTTCAAAATATTGTTGTTACCAAAACAATGACGTCTTTGTAATTCACAGTCGCTAGTCGTCTTGTTTATAATTGATTTACGTGTTATTCAGTTAAGTAATAGTGCTTAAATTTCTAATAAACATACTCATACATTTTTTAGTTAAAATATATTAAATTGTCAAAGGATTCACAATTAATATCAATGTATTCTTCAGGTTTTTTCGTATGGCTAGTGCGGTATCCAGGGACACTACAACAAAAGTTATATATAAGAGTCTCTAGAAACGAGGAAGTGTGTTTTCAATATTTAATACTGCTTGATGTTATCACGTGTTTTATTTTTGTTGTAATATATTGATTGCATTGATTCGAAAGTTGTATTTGCACACTTTTACTGTATTTGCAATTTTAATGTTTTTCTATTTTTGGAGTTATTTACTTTTTGTGATATTTTTTTGTTCTAATTATTTCCAAAGTCAACAATTTATTCTTCGGAACTAATGCAACACATTACGAAGTTTTTGTTTCTCCTATAAAATTTACTTTGTTTAATACGAATTTTGTCTTCGGCAACGTCGATTAAGCAAATAGTTTTTTTATTTTATTGTTTTAAGCCAACATTATAAATCATTAAAATATTTTATCACGTATTCGTATTTCATTCAACCCTATGGTGTGTAGAAAGCCTTAGACGAACGGCCATCTTCTTCAATTTGAACGCGCGACGACTCGGCAATTGTCAAGAGGCCGCCACAAAATTGCAAGGAGAATGTATTTTGATTTGATTTATTTCGCTACTTATAAATATTCAAATATCAAGATATTAGCATCATATTAAAGGGAAATGAATTTAGTTTTTCTTTTCAGTGTTTTGTTGGTAAAAATTACTATATTTTATGCATACGAAACAAATTTATGGAAAGTATTTTTATTTTCCACTCGGGAATTAACATTAAACCTTATTTTAAGTATAATAAATTATCACTATCGATTTTTCAAATAGATAAGTTCAATCTATAAACGTCTAGCTATTTTTCAATATTTTTATCTTTGCTGTAGCTATTATATTTTAGCTGTCACAAAGGATTTTGTTACCGAGTAGCGGGGACAGATTCGCGCGGCTTGAGACGGCTAGTAGTCGGACGTTTGACGCATATTTACCAGCGCGGGACGGATGTTAGAGTGGATAAGAACTGAAATGAACAAGATTCACCAATCTTAAGCTAAACTCCTTAGATCGCTAGGAACTGTCAAAGTTGTTTAGCAAAGTGTAGTTTGCTAAACAAAAAAACCGGCACGGAGAAAGGTACAAACAATCACACCGCTCTGTCTCATTTCTATGCAAGACGTATGCATAAATCTATCTTTTTCGTGTGCGAATGCGAAAGAAGGCGTCAATTTGTCTATAGGTTTCTCTGTCTACGCGGAATAACATGCTAGCAGCCAAAAGCATTATGGCTTTGTCGACTATGAATATTTTTTTAACTTTTAGAGTTCGAGGCCCTTTGAGCCACGAAGCTGTAGGCGATAGCTCACATCGGCCACGTCTTGCGCCACCTCTAAGCTAGCGAACGACTGTTTACCAGCTTAATCTGTCATCAAAATCTTCCAAAAACTCTACAATGTGATGCGTGAAACATGCTTGATATTAATACTTAATATTTGCATTTCGTTAGATAAAAAACAGCGGTTAATGTGATCTTTTCGGCTGAAGACCCAGTAGCCAATGCTATAATGAAGAAAAAAAGTAAATAATAGACAATAATAGCTCTACAAATGGTGGATGGTCGCATTTCTGTGATTGAAGTGTTTTGTGACAACTCAAAGAACTATCTTTTTAAATGACTGCAAAGTTGTAATATGTGAAATACTGATTATTATTACTTATAATGACACAAAAAATACTCGATTATTGTGTACATTGAAAAGAATAATAAAAATTAATACTAACCTCAAAAAATCTTAAAATGGAGCTTCCTCAACCACCGCAAGGTAGGTATAGTTTAGTTTTATTATGTCAATGTTTTACTTTTCATTTTAATTATTTATGCACAATTTGATCAAAAACGTTTTAGATCAAGATCTCCGAAACATAATAGACAAACTGGCCCAGTTCGTCGCAAGAAATGGACCGGAGTTCGAGAAAATGACGAAAAACAAGCAAAAGAACAATCCTAAGTTTAGTTTCCTGTACGGCGGGGAGTATTTCAACTACTATCAATACAAAGTGACGACAGAGCAAGCAAGTAAGCATAAATCACCGATGGCACAGATAGAATGTCGCGGTCGCCCCCGATCGCTAGTTTGCGTGTTGTGATAACCGTTTCAAGTGAACCTCCGCTGTTTATAGTTCTAAAGCAATCGGCCGGTGGGCAGTCTGTTTCCGCGCCCGTCGGGGCTTATATGGCACAGAACAGGCAATATGTAATGCCCCAACAGGGCGGTGCTACGGCCGCGCAGCTGGGTCTTGCGGCATCGATGGCGGTGGCGCCGGCGCTTCAGCAATGGCTGGCAGCGAACTCCGGCCCGCCAGCTGCACCCAGCCATCACTCACACGACATCGACAACATCAATGCACAGATCAACATGCTTAAAGAGCAAATTACTCAGTCGGAAAATAATCTCAATGCTCAGCATACAGTAAGTGTTTTTTTTTAGTTTTTTTTTCTTTAAAAAACGTTACCCTTACACTAAGAAGCAAGTAAGTGTCTAGCATTATTTTAAATACTTAGTAATACAAATACATTGTATATTAGTATTAGGTGGTAGGACTGACTTTCCGCCTAGGAGTCTGTCTGCACACCTTAGAAACGGTATCCCTAAATATTGGGTTCATATTATTATGGTGAAATAAAGATAAAGATTTATCAAATATTAAATAACAAAGTGCAGAAATACATAGTTTTTGAGATGTATTTTTTTGGCAAAAATGTAATAAAACTATACCGAAAGTATAACAAAATGCAATGGCATATGTCATACAAAATAATGTTTCAGTTCACAAATTTCTAATTTTAGCATTAATGTTTTAAAAGTTTTTGTCAATTAATACATTAACAAAATAGTGAAACTGAATGCATTTGCTTGCCACCCACTATTTTGTTTTTCTTTCACTTGTACTTGTGTTACATGTTAGTTCTCCACATTTTATAAAAAGTATATTAAAAATGGCATTTAAAAAGTTGCTTAAAGCACTGATATTTGTCTATGAAATCTGTTTATTGGTTTTATTTTATTCATTCCTTATCATATTTGTATTTCACCTTAATAGAATTGACAGGTTGGCTATAGATATTCGGTACTTGATTATAATTATGTTTTCAGTTTAGGAGGCTTGTCAGGGTTAAGCTTGAACCTTTACATTGTTTTTGGATGTCGAAATCATGTTTTGAATGAATTAAGATAAAAACAAACTTCATTAAATATAGCGTAACCCATTGACTCGGCTACCGATCTAATCAGATCATACAATACCTACCTTACGTCGGCTCTGGTACGGGTCGAATTAGATCAGGTCGGATCAGAAGTACTGCCTTATGAAAAAACTATTTTTTCCTTTAAAACAAAACCAAAGACAATATGCGATAGATAATAGTATCAAAGAGAAAGATATGCTCTTTTATTTTAAACCATAACCTGGCAATGTTTCTTAGAGAAAAAAAAAAGAAATCACTCTGAACTTTCGGCGTTCCACGTGTCGTTTTGATGAAGGTGCTCCGTCTTTTTTATAGAATTTTATATTTGTGTCTGGACTAAAAACGAAAGTATTATACTTTTTTATATTCCTTGTAATATAGTGAACACGTAGATATATAATTTGTGGTATAAAAAGTGAAAAGTAAATTGCCAAAAGTACTTCAAAATCTGGAAGACCCATTTTGGCGGTTGGGTAATAAATGTGTTATTTTTCAAATTCTCATTTATTTTTAGTGTAAAATGTAAGTAAAAATAGTTTTCTTACATATTTCAAATAACTTGACGTTGTATTTATTTCAAATTCACACATAATTATTTTTGAAATATTGTTCTAAATGTCACACAGATAAAATATTATTATTGTTTTTTTTTTTAATTTTTTAATATTTTAATATTTTGGTATGAGTAACGAATGGAAACATATAAAACATAAAAATATACATATTTCCAAACATTTTCATATAAATTTCTCCAAAAACAAAAGTGTAGAATTCAAATTAGTAGTAATTTTGTCACTAAAATTGAAGTATATGCTACTACTATGCTATACAGGGTAATTTATGTATTTTATTACAATTTCTAGCAACCAAAAATAATTTTATTCGATAGTTTATACATTCAACAAGAAATCCTGTAAGTTTTATCCATAAATATTGTCTCAAAGTGAAAATATATCAAAATTTGCAATATAGCAAAAAATTTTCTAACTTACAAATTTTCCCGCCATTAAGGTCCCGAGCGAACGGGAGTATAACATGTCGCGCGCTGTCAGAGCCTTGGGGTTAAAATCAAATGCGAATATGTCAATTTGTTCTCGTATTATAAAGTAGATGTCTGGTACTTGATTTTTTAATTTTGTTTTCAATTTAGGTTTGTCAGGGTTAAGCTTGAACCTTTTATACTGTTTTTGGATTTCGGAAATGCCTTTTTAATTAATTATGATAAAAATAGTTTTCACTAAAAATTGCATATAATGAAACGAAAATATGTCAGTTTGTTTTTTAAACACAGATACACTGATAAAAAACTTAATCACTCAGACCCAGACAATCCATTTGTAGCTGAAGATGGGACTCATATAAAACAAATTGAGTCGCAGTGCAGAGCAGTCAAGAGCTTTTTCAGAAAACAGAATTATAACAATTCACATTACATTATTCCATTTACCACTATCATAGCAGAGTTTAGGGCAACTTGAATTTATAGATACGATTGGTCAAATCTGTTCTAAAACCAAATTAGCACACCCCGACTTCACATAGTATTGTCTACCCAAGCCCTAGAGTGTTTTTGTAAAGCTGTAGGCGCAGATTGGGAGCAGCCCCCGCCCGCTGTAGCAAATCGCAGGCCCCTGATTGAGCCATAGCAACTAAGGCCGGTTGCCGAAGGCGACCAATAAGCTGAAGCAGCATAGGCGAGTTTGGGTGCCTGTGTTTTGCTACGTAAGGGTGAAGCGGTTGCACTTCCCGCAGCGCCGAAGCAGTTGCAGAAATAATTTATGTCAATATTCCTGTGTAAAAAAGTGACTTTATGATTTTAGAAAAAAATTATTACACGTAAACTATACATTTCCGCAAAAAGGGAAAGGATAGGGGGGGGGCTTCCTCTGAATCCTCCCCCTCTCCCCTCCACTCCCACCACCATACGCAAGTACCGGATGTCTATAGTTTAACCAAATCGACCAACCTCAATTCAACATAGTTTTGTTGCTTAACTATGATTGGCTATTAAAAAATAAAAGAAAAAGGCTTGTTACTCACGACTTGCTTGAGTATGAACCATAAGCTCTTAAATATAGAGATCATATTTTCTTTTCATCAAGGAAGTTTCTAGAATTAATGAGTAAATTTAGCTTCTTTACATTAGATGACGCAGTAATATTTATTTGAAAATGCAACATAAATTCTTACTAATAGATATAATTGTAACATAAACACTCATGCATGTGACCCAGAGGGGTAAGCGGAGACTACAGACATCCATTTAGCATGATCCTGACATACCTCTCTTGAGGAGGCTCCACATCCATATACATACACATTCATGCTCGTCGGTTAAGGGTACTCTTAATTTGTCCAATATGCTCGATAAATTTTCGCCTAGGACGTCCCTTTCCTACTCTTCCATTCACTTCAGCTACATACATTTGCTTTGTCACTTTATCCTCATTCATTCTTTCTACATGACCAAACCATCGAAGCATTCCTTTCTTAATGCTGGTCACAGCATCATCTTGCAAACCACACTCAGTCAATATTAAAGTTAAGGATACTATACGAAAATGCGTTAGAATCTGCCTTATATTCCTGTTATTCATATAGCCGGCATATAATTCATCGCTGATGCGGCAAAGGGGCGAACTTTATTTTTTTTTAAATTACAAAAGGACAAGACAACATTTATTTTTCCCTGAGATAACTAGCTTTTGTACCGACTTCAAAAAGCAGAAGGTATTCGATTTGATTGTGTTTTTTATGTGTGTTACCTCATAACTTTTCTCTGAGTGAACCGTATATTTAATTGACTTTTGTATTTAATGTAAAATTACAAATTATACTAATTTTCTTATGAAGAATTGATAGTAATCGGGGAATAATAAGGGCGATATTCATTATAATGCCGTTCACAGTTCGTTCTCGTCTGATAATATATTATCAAGTAAAAAATATGTGTGTACACTCATATTCTCCGTAACAGTCAAGTTTGGCTCGAATCCCATTCCAATAATATAATAAATCAGACCAAGTTGGACAGAGAATGAATTGAGAACCTCAAATGAGAATCAGCCCTAAATGTTTTCTAGCCCTCCTGTAATTTTTTAAATATTGCATTTTGCAACTTCTTTTTTTTTCTTTAAGGGAAATTGTTAACAGTGACTTAAATCTTATGAGAGAGGAACGGCATTAGTAGTATAAATTATTATTATTTTGTTTGTACCCTGGTATTAGTAATAAGTGGTAACATAGTATATAAACATAATATGTGATACAATTAATTTCATTGTACTTAGGTTATATTAGCGGAATGTACAAATTTTTAGATAGTATTTGATTATTTAACTTTTGCTTGCATCCTAATATTTCTATAAATTAACGGTGGGGATATGGCGCTGACAGCTGATGCACAGGTCTCCTAGTTCGGCTGCAGATGCTATGTTTTCAAGTATATGTACTAATGTAGCTTTATTAAATAACGTTATGCAAATATCGTGATTTACAACCTCTTGGAAATAAAGAACTTATTATTATTATTATTATAAATTATCATTTTTGAAATTGAAGCAAGGAGAATAATTAAAAACAATAATTTAGCAATTGTTTATTGTCATTTAAATAACACATTTTAAAATTGTCATTTTCACACTTTGATATTAAATTTTAAACTATACTGAATTCTGATATTAATGTAGATTATAATATTAAGATCGCTTTTATTTCAATTACTTTCCAAGTCACGAGTAATAAACTACTTCCTTACTTATCTAGCTTAGCATACTTAACACGTATATTTATATAATATATAATATAATATAATTACGTATAGTTTCATAGGAATCAAAAATTAGCACATTGTCATTAATATGTTAATAAATTTTATTCATAAAATTTTATCGAAAACTTTAACCCTAGAAGCCTAATTTATCTTAGAGATACATAAAGCCTTAAAATACGCCTCAGAGGCGTGAATATTTAAATAACCATTTCTGGCCTAAAGTATAATTATTTGTGTTTTTTTTTAGCACCTGTAAGATAGGCATTTATTCTAGTAGGTAATATGACACAGATTCATCAATGAAGACTCCAATCACAGCAATTTATTACAACAAAATAAAACAATCTGCTTATATTCTAACAAAAAAAGTAACTTCTGATTAAGCAACGGTAACATTTTTTTAACTATCTTATATTTTTTTAACTATTAATGACTTTCTTAGCATAACTATAAAATTAAATCAGACTAGCTTAAAGCTTAGATCAGTCTACACACGCACCAACTTTGTGCTCGCAACATACTGACTTTTTGCTCTTATAACTCACTAATTTCAACATTCTCTTTTTTGTAAGAACAAAATGCACAGCATTTACGTTTTTTGGGCTTAGGTTCTCCCTCCTGAACTTCATTACTTAAATCAGTATATTTTACGAGAATATGGATTATATTTTCTCGTAAAGATCCTTTCGAAGTCGGCGCTTCAAGTCTCATCTCCATCCAAGCCTTGACAAAATCTGAGCTGAGCTGCTACATGAATTTTCTTCTAGTTAGGGGTTTATTATTGTTCTTGATCATGTTGTCCTCTAGGGGTGCGGAATATATTCATAGCTGAAGTTGTCTGAGACGATTGGCCCTTGGTAGTCAACCAAACATGTCCGTTCTTACAGCGACGTGTATTTCCGGAGATGTATATGTCTTGAGTTGATAAAACCCGTAGATTGAGTAGGAGTAGATGGGTGAGCTGCCGCAGCAGTTGTTGAGAAAGTTTCTTCATTCTGAGAAGATAGTAAATAGAAGAGCTCCTCAGTGACATAATCGTTCATGTCTTCACTTTGAACATCATTCACAGCTTGATGATACAGAGAACCATGATCTTCTTCGTCTTAAGATCGCCAAAACATCGGTACTGTTTAGCCGTTTTGATCATGATATATATCAGTAACAACACCAATATAACCATAAAAACACAATAGCGTAATCACAATCTAAGTTAAAAGTTACACAAAGCCTAAACAAACGCCTCGCAGGCATACTACATGTCAATAAGTCGAAAAAGTGCGGGACTTACCTTACCGATACAGGAACTATCAGCAGGCTCTCAGCGGCTACTGAGTTGGCACAAATCGCTAACTTCACCCGTTATAAAGATATAGACGGTTTCCGAATGCGTGTACGCCTCGCAGGTGTGCCTTCTAGGGTTAAAATCAGAATAGTTACAACACTATCGCAGTCATTTTTATTCAAAATTTATTAACAGATGATCTTGGTTGAATATTACTTGAAATAAAGGCAATTTGACATTTTGTCCACGTTTTGTCACGTTTCTATGCAAAAAAAGGGAAAAGTTACTAAGATAGTTAGTGCCTTTGGTATAAAACACCCACTTTCGATATATTTATCTTTTAACTTTCGTTTTAATACTCCAATATTGCAAAAAACGGTATATTTTAGCATATCTCACTTAAGTTTAAGTTTAGTAAAGTACTTTAAGTTACTGACGGCTCGCTGCCCGTCAGCTCGCGGCAATTTGAACCTAGTCAGTTACGTTCTACTGTTCGTAATTGTAACACACTTGCCCTGCTACTTTGGTCTTCCTCTTGTTTTTTATGTTCCGTGGGGAATATAATCCTAAATTAAAAAAAATAATAAAGTGAAGTAAGAGTTAAGATGTGAAAAAGCTGGTTGAATTATTTATTATAATTTCATCCCTACTAACACATGTATTTGTTCTTAAGCCATTTTACTGCTCAATTGATTTTTCTCACTATCATGAATTTATTTAATAGCTCATTTGAATATTTGTCACCACTTATTTAAGTTTTTTTACTACTATTTCCATTATGCACCAAATTGTTAATGAACATGCACTCTGTATTTTCCTACTAACCAAAAGTACAATATACAACTGCCGGTTTCCTTTAAAAATCTCAAAAATTATGTTTGTCTACAGTTTAATTTCCTCCCACCTTTGTCTTCTGACACTCCACAATTTCTGTCTTGAATAAAGGGATTTTTTTTGTTTTGCTGACATATTCTCAAATATTTAATGTTTTTCTCAACAACTATGCTTTTCTGCACTTAAATTCCTACCCGGAGGGTAATCCCTTCACCCTCCTTCACATTATGCCCCCCCTCACCCGGGGTTTACCCCTTTTCCTATTTTTTCCATCAAATAACGGTGCCAGGGTGTGTTCCTGAATCTGAAGAGAAAAATTCTGAAGAGAAATAGAGAGCCTTACAGGCTGTGAGGCAATTCATCTTAGTCCTCAGAGGTGACAACACATCTGTAGCCTTGTTTGTTTGAAATTAGTTGGAAGTGTTCTTAGGCTGCAACAGTCACCTACAATCTGGTGGACTAGTAAGTTCATTTTTAAAATAAGAAAGAGTTTTTTTGACTGCATTTTTTGTATGTGTATAACATGTTATCTTTGCTTATTGTTTACTGATCTTAATTATTCTTTTTTTTTTTTAAATAAATAAACAGTACCTCAAGGGTGCGATATGAATTTAAAGAAAAAAATTGTAAGGATGACATTTTTAATGTGACTACTTAGGACATAATTCTAGTTGTTACATTGAGGTTATATCACACCCAGCTTAGTCTGCCCAAAAGGATAAAAAAAATAGATTTAAGCACACCTGATTGTAAGTGGACTCAACCTGTAGTTGCTGTAGTCCATAGACATCTGCATCTATCCTCGACTATAAATTATAATGCAGATGCGTTGTCACCTGTGAGGACTAAGATGGAATGCTTTGTTTCTTTGCTTCGGAAGTTCAAACGGCTTCAGAAACAATTATTATAATGTGTACAATTATACTATTTAGTTCTTTGAAGCCAGTTGTTACCTTTTTATGGTTTAATTTTTTATTTTAATTATAAATAGATAAAGAATTTATGTAACTTTTATATCTTGTAGTATTACAAACAATTTACCTAATTTAGGTTGTTTCTTATTGATCCTTTTGTTTTAATTCATATTATTGTATTACTGCTTAACCTACTTAACTTTTTTTCTTTAACTCAAACTGGAGATGTGTTGTCACCCGTGAGGACTAACATGGAATGCCTCATTCCCAATAAAAAGGACCTCTTGTTCTCTACACTCACCATATGAAACACAGTAGCACTGAGCTGCTATTTTACGCCGGTATTCGGTGAGAGTGTGGTCCTTCCCCGGTTGAGCCGACCCATTCATGCTACAACCGTAATATATAACGAGCCTCAACATAACGAATTTCTCGATTTAACGAATTTTTTTTAAAATACCCTAGAACTGCCCGTAAGTGCTAATGCAAAATATACCTCTACATTACAAATACTTATCAAAAACCCTTTTATAACGAAATTTTATCATTGCAAAATATAGATAGAAGGTATTATTTACCGAATTTTTTCAACTTAGAACCTTGACATAACATATCCTATTAGTTATTCCCACTTAATTCCGCCATTAATCATGTCTTGACAGATTCAGACACATTAAATTCTTAGTAAGACACTTATATATTGTTTATTGATTTCTATTTTGACAGATATAAAAATACTGTATTTTCATTCAAGTGTATTTTCATTCATTAGTGGAAATTGTTCAACAGGGTGAACAGATGAATATTTACATAATCTTGGGGTTAATGAACAAATTTTCTTACCTTGTTAAAACAAATTGTAGTCCCACCTAACCCCTATACAATGTGTCCGGTTTCCGATGTCCGATACTTTAAGGGGTTAAAATACAATTAATTTTATCGACAAATCAGGGATCAATGATTTTTTCCTGTATAACAACCTTATTATTAGGAATATTTTCCCTTCTGTTTCGTTATATCGAGGTTGCACTGTAGCTACAGCCTTATACTGAACATAGGTAGGTATATTTGCGTGATTTAGTAAATCACGCAAAAATACCTACCTATGTTCAGTATAATGCTTAAATGTTATAAAATCTGACTTATAAACTATAAATGTGTGTAAGCACATTAACTCAATATTAAAATCAATCATTTATGTTATTGCATTAACTCTTTATTTTTATTTGGGATCTGTCTTTATGTAACATAGGCATGCATACGACTACTAAACCATACAAGTGTTAAATATAATTATATATTATTGAGGTTATAAGACGAAAATAACTAGATATTAATATATTTTCTACATGTGCATGGTTACTAGTAAACTGTTGAATTATATGTCATTTAAAGTTGTGATAATTATTTTACAGCATATTATATAGGATTAAAAAAATTAAATTAGGAGATCATTGATAAAAATAATGTATTCATAATTTAAGATTATTATTTACAATTTATTATTCTTTTTTCTGTATGTCTTTCAAAAATTATAAATTAAATCATTTTAGGTGTTGATACAGCAACAGCAAGCTAAAATCAATGAATTGGTCAGCAAAGCGCAAGTGGAGACCATCCAGATCATGGCTGAAGAAAACAACATCAATCTCAATGAACTAGACAGCATTTTGCAACCTATAATAGACACATGTACTAAAGATAGCATTTCTTCAGGTAAATACTCTTGTTGAAAGCCTTCCTCGAATATATACAGATATTCCATCTTATTTAACCAAAATTTAGCAAAAAAATTTTTATACCTGTTGTGTCTGATTAAAACAAAATTTGAAAATTAATGGTCAGAATTAGTTTTAGTTAATGATTTCTTATATTTACGCGAACACTCAAGTTTCTTAGTTTTAGTTATTTTGATATAATCAAACCAGACATCTGTTAATGCCACGAGAGTTTTATGGCATTTAGTAAGTAGTGTGTGCGAAGTAGCGAATTTAAAATATGTTTATAAGTTACATGCAATAAAATCCATAGAACTTAATTTCGTTTAAATGTGTAGTGTACGCGTAAACACTATGCTACTTAATGCTCATCACCTTATCAGTCAGATCAAAATGAAAAATGTTTTTTTTTTAATTTAATATCAAAATATAAAATAGTAAGTAACTAAAAGTAAAGAATTTCTCCACAAGTATTAAAAAAAAATTTACAACTTCCCTGTTCTATGAGTATTTAATATTATATATTTCGATTACTCTTTACCTTTTTAGATTTTTTGGATTTTTTTTGAGACAACCAAAAAAGTTAAAAAAAATTATAACTATATACATTCATGTTGCTGCCAAAATTTGTTCTCTGATCTCTTGCTCTTAGAAGATTAGAAAAGAAATCTTATTAAAAACTTATATACTTTAAATAAGAGTGCTTAAAAGCATTAGACATTTTAACAAAGTTACAAGCATGTTAATATTTTAGGGAAAGGGTGGATTTTGCAACATGCAACCTCACATGATGCTGGCAAAGTGATATCACAGCATCTCCTTAGGAAGGTCACTCAACCTGGAGCTGCTTTCACACAAAAACTTCACATCATTTATCTCGTAAATGACGTCCTTCACCACTGGTTAGTATATAATTACTGTGCATTAGTTTTAAGATCATCATTTTACTAACGTTAAACAGAATAAGAAATTCACTTTTGCTTATTCTAAACAGTTTACAAAGTCTCAAGACTAGTTTTGATTATAGTTTTCAGTTATTACTAAATTATTATTATTTCATATTATATATTATTATCAATTATGTTTAGGTAAATGTTGAGATATTTAATTAGGAAAATTTCCATGACTTTCTTTTTTATTAATGACTTAAATCATTTAAGTTTTAGTAGGTTTTTTTGTGTAAGGTTTAATTTTACAAATTATTTAGTAATGATTTTATTACTAAATATAATTTTTTGTAATTTTAAATATTTTTTGTTAAATTTCCTGTCCCTTGCTGCAATTATCAAATCGGTGTCTATGATGCTCTTATTCCAATTACAGTGCACGCAAAAACGCAGAAGATCTCAAGAAAAATTTGGAAAATGTGGTGGTACCAATGTTTTGCAATGCCAGTATAGGTAACATATTTATAATAATGTCCTCAAGATATAGGTCTCTCTTATTCGATTGCGCATTTTCATCTTCAATTTAAAGCATACTTAGAACACCATCGCCTGTGGTTTGTGCCAGTCAGGTAACTTGCTTGAGTCTGCTGGCTTGTACGACAATTGTGTAAATATTTTACTGTTTCAGCGGTAACAGAGGAGCAGGAGGCGAAGTTAAACAAGTTGCTTCGCTTGTGGGAATCTAAGTCGAACTATTTCGAGTCAGCCGTCATTGAAAAAATGAAGAGCCCAACAAGTTCCTACCAAGAGTATCAGAACAACTTGATAGCGCAACACTCTAACGCCATCTCACATTTAACACAACAAACTAAATCTACTTTTGAAAAGTATGTATATGTTATATTTCATTTAGGGAAATACCATTATGGATCTGTCTAAAGTTGTTTGTTTATTTTCAGTTACCAGTCCCAGCATCAGGCATTTGTTGCCCACACAATGCAACAGATACAGCAGCTGGAGATGCAAAAGCATGCCCTTGAATTGCAAAATCAGGAACAAAACGAGAATATGCAACAGCAAAATATGGGACCATTTCAAAACAATAATTTTAACGATCAAAGCTTTTCGCAAATGGGAGGTTTTCACGATCAAAGCTATAATTCAAGCCACCAACAGTATGGGAGCGAGAGTGGAGATAACTATGCATCTAATAACAGTATGAGCGGAAATGAAAACAGTTATGATAGTCAAATGTTCGATCAAATAACTGGACATAAGAAAAATGATATTGAGGAACCAGATTTGTCAAATCTTCCAAATGTTAATTTCTCTCAACCTCCTCCTGGTTTTACACCTCAAGAGAATCCAGCATTGTTAGCATTCCAAAATGGTCTTCCAGATCTGAGCAAGCCCCCACCTGGATTTATTCCATTCCCAGAAATAAACAATGAAGACTTAATGCCTTCCGTACCATATTTTGAGTTGCCTGCAGGGTTGATGGTGCCTTTAATAATGGTAAGTGATTAATTTATACAACATGTCACAAAAACCCTGTGGTTCCCGTTAAGTGCGTTATCAGAATCAGTATCCAAGCATATAGAATTTTTTTCGAAAAAAAAAACATTTAAAATAAATTGATTTTGATAAAAAAAATTAATTTGCAAATTGTTTGTGGTTTTATTAACTGCATTGGCCCAGGAGTAAGAGGATTGTCAAAGACCCCGCATTACCGATACTCGTGTGAATTAGAGGAAATAAATCCACCAATTAATTTTTTCCATTAAAATTATTTTTTTAAATGTTTTTTTTTTGAAAGAAATAATATTTTTATACACTTGCATACTGATTCTGATAACGCAGTTAACGGGAACCACAAGGTTTTTGTTACATGTTGTATATATTTCTACTAGTATTACATAAAGTATACATTTTAAAAGAAATAAAATATTATGACAATAATTACATGCACACAGTATTGCTTTTTCTGAGATTTAAAAATGTTATTGTTTGTTAAATATTTAAATTGTTATTATGACATTCAAAATGATAATCACAATACAATTTCTCTACATAATATGTCCAACTAATGAGCACAAGCCTCTCGTTTCTAAGAAGGTTAAGGTCTTCGAATTACCATGGCTGTATTAAATTTTATTATATTTATTACATTATAATAGCCATATCTATTTTATCTCAAGCTCGAAGAAGATAGATACAGACCTCTGGATCCGGCAAAAATTCGTCTACCTCCACCAGCTCCGCCAAATGAAAGGTTACTTGCAGCTGTTGACGCTTTTTATGCATCGCCAAATCATGAGCGCCCCAGAGATAAGTAAGTTTCAAATAATTTGAGTTTTAAGTTCAGTCTACATCCATTGTATTATAACTTTAAAAGTTTATTATTATAATAGTTAAAGTTTATTTTATTCTTTTGATACAAGTCACATTTTTATATGATAAAATTAAGAAGCAAAATTTTTTTTAGTTTGTTATTTTTTATTATGATGGATATCGTTTTAATTTTTTTGTGTGGAACCCTAATTATTATTCTACAATAAAAGAAGCCTAAGTTATTCCTTGTAACACCAGCTATCTGCCAGTGAGATTCCTGTCAAAATCGGTCCAACTGTTTCGAAGATTAGTCGGAACAAACAAACAATTAGACATACAGAAAGATAAAACATTTAAAAAAATCTTTTTTTATAAGTACCGTATATATACTTTCAATTTTATTTACTTTTATACAAGATATATTATGATACACATACTATCTTTATGAAAAACTTTTATAATAATTGTGAGTACAATACGCCACTTTTAGTAATTATGCACATTATGTATCTCTTACTTTTGAAAGCGTGCCAGCCGTGCGAGCCGTGGTAGCTCAGATGGTTAGCGCTCGCTGTAAATTTCACAATACGTGAGCAAACCGGTTTCGATCCCCGCCGGCACCAATGAAATTATTAATTGCAATTTTAAGTGCTGATTTACCACGTGCTCGGCGGTGAAGGAAAACATCGTGAGGAAACCTGCATGTCTGAGAAATAAGCAAAAAATAATATTTCGAAGACATGTAAAGTTCGCCAACACGCATTGGGGCAGCGCGGCGGACTATTCTTTGCCCTAAAACCCTTTCAGAAATGAGAGGAGGCCTGTGCCCAGCAGTGGGACGTATATAGGCTATAACCTTACCTTACCTTACTTTTAAAATATAATACTAAATTAGAGAAGTTAGATATATTTTAATTAAAATTATAATTTATAACAAACATAAAGTTAATGGTCATCTACTTAGCAAAACCCTACTTCATTCATAAAATTAATTTCAAAATGTATCAATGATCATATTTTCAAGAAATAAAATATATTATTGAGTTTGGCTTTAGTGTGTACATAAGCATGCTTAAAAGTCCCAGACAGTGTACAAGGTCTATTGTGGTTTTCAATGCCTTAGAACAACCATTTATTATAAATACATCTATCTGTAGGTAAAAATTTATTGCTGTCGTTAGTCTCGCAAAAACTCGAAAATGGCTCGACAGACTTGGATGATTTTTTTCGTGTATTTGTGGTGGCGCTTTTGTCGGGATCCAGAAATTATCCGTGCAAATCCGGGGGAAAGATCGCTAGTATTTGATAATAACTCTTAGGAGTAAGATGATCAGTGCCAAGCTTTTGTTTAATTTCTGCTCAAGTGCGTGTTGACGAATTTCTCAGATATGCAGTTACCTCACGATGGTTTTTTAACTCCGCGGTTGAAAAAAATATGTTACCTCGAAACTTAAAATTACAATTAATAATATAATTGGTGCTGGCGGGGATCGAACTCAGGTTACTCGCGTAGTGTGAAATTTACGGCGAGCGTCTAGCTAATCTATGTCGAATAAGAATAATTATAATCTATTCATGTGTACCTGCAGTAGCATTGAACTGTCGTCTCTGCAGCAGAGACGAATGACAGCTCACAGTAGTGCAGTGGCTATGTATGGAAACTGCCTCCACAATACAGGAGAAAATTCTAGTAAGAGATAAAAATAAAAAGGAGTCAGTATAATGGTGATGGCCTGTGTGACTTTAATCCTCAGGACAACATATTTAAAAAAAAAAGAATATTAACAATGCTGTAAACATTACTAATATTTCCCTTAACCACTCGTGGTAAGCTTAAATTGTTTGTGTTACGAGTGGTTCATGCCACTAGTCGAATGGCGGATTTGAACCCACTATCTTTTTGGTTCGCGGTCCGCGCCCTGCCATTAGGGTACTGTCGCTTCATATATAACGCAACATATATAAATTATTTCAATAGTTCTTTTTTTATTTAGATCTAGGAAAATTGTATAACTGTTTCATAAAGTTTTTGATTTCATTTTTAAACATTGTAGTGAGGGCTGGGAAAAACTGGGACTTTATGAGTACTACAAAGCCAAAAATGCGGCAAGGAAGCGCAAAGAAGAAGACATCGCCCAAGGAATAAGGGAGCGCTCAAAATCGCCAAGCCCAATACCTAAAGACCTACAAAAACAACCTACTCCACCTGGAAGGAGATACAGGTAAAGGAAAGAAGGATTATAGAAAAAAAATTGCTGATAATATCACAGTTTAAAGCTTAGAAACACCTTTGATGTCAGGCGATGTCACAGTCCATGTAGGTATTTACGTGCCTATTTTGTGACAATCCTAGCATATTCCTTCGTGAATATGCTAGGGTTGTCACAAAATAGGGAATAAAATAATAATTATGGATATTATTATACATACTCATAATCATTTATTTGTCAATTAAAATTATGTACATGCATGCTTATAGGTTAAAAGATCTCCTGATTTTATTTATTTCCACAAGAAAAAATACTATTACAGATTTGTTCCACTGCCAAATATTTTCGTGACACTTTCTTTTTATAGATGTTCGATTGTTAAATTTAATTCTGTAGTATGTTCGCACGCAATTAAAATTAAAAGTTAATAACTAAAACCAAACTGTGATAGAAAACGGTAAAAACCTTTTTTTATATATAAAATAAGGGTGACAAACGATCACACAGTCCACCTAATGGTAAGTAGATGCTGTGGCTAAAACAACATCTATCTTTAGAATAGAAATGCAGATGCGTTGTCACCCTTGAGGATTAAGATGGAATGCCTCTTTTTCAGTGAAAAGGGTCTCCGGTTCTTTTGCACTCACCATACGAAATATAGCAACATTAAGCTGCTATTTTACGCTGGTATTCTATGAGAGAGTGGTACTTCCCTGGTCGAGCCGACGACATTTGTGCCACAACCATAATATAGCTGTAGTATGGGCTCTGCCACAGTTAAAATGTTTTACCAAGAACCAAACACCAAGACCTACACCTATTGCTATAATTATTAATTAAAATGTGTTTGTATGTAGCAGTCACACATTATTTTACTAAGATGTCCTGAAATGTAGTTAGGGTTTTTTTGAACTTATTCGTTATATTTAGGGAATAAAAAGAAAAGTCAAAAATAAAAGTTGTTAGATTTCCCTTCAAAGAGAAATAATTTAATGTAAAAATATTGTGAGCTCTCCTTAAAGATGTTTTGCAATTTTGCTGCGTACTTTATTTTAATTATAAAATAAGTTTCAATATGTAGGTAATTTAAAGTGTTTATGGCATTCAAGACATTAATATTATTAAAGGTGATAATTTTCCTATTATATTAAGTAAAAATCACTGTATCTGCTCAAAAGCTAAACATTTATATCGGACCTGCGGGTTAAATGTATAATAACGAGGGTTTTCTTTCCGAGTTTAGTTATATTTAGATACTACGCGCCTAGTTATAATTATTTACGTTTATTAAACACTAATTTTCGCTTTAAACTAATGGTCTTATTCCAAAAAATATTTTAATACAGGTTTAAACCAAGACTAAAAGATCCAGGTTTGTTACAGTATAAACGTTAATACCAGAATCAAAAGGTGTGTTTATTTTAAAAACGCAGACTATCCGAGGACCCGTTAGTACCAAAGTTAGTACTGGTTTATAAATAACATCCACAGATAAAAAAAACAAAAAATGGTACTGTTTCATTCGTTCATACGGGTTTCATTCAAGCAACGTTCTGTTACTATAAATATTAATGTTATTATCACGCTTCATATGCTTAAATTATTATTTATCAATACAAATAAATATAACAAATTGTTATTTGTTAAGGTTGAAATCTGTTGAACATGCACAACTTATATTTATGATGAGTTTTTTTTTTATAAAAAGTTGTTTTAATTTTAACAGCTCTATCGTGAAAAGGAGTAAATTACATAGGTACCGCGAGCGCGTTATTAGAAACGATTAAAAATGTTTATGTTGCGCCCATAGAATAAATCAATGTTCTTGTTATTTTAATTCATTGTTCTATTCTAAGTATAGTGGTGTTGCAGTCAGGTACGTTTTGTTCGGGAGATTGTTTGTTTGGTTAAATAGTAATCTACCTAAATAAAAATGAAATAAAAAACGGGGTGAAAATGGGAGTTCTAAAGAAAAAGTTAGTGAAACATTGAAATTTATTTTGTTAGTAATAACGCTTTGTATCATCTTTATTTCGATTAAAGCGAATGTTCTTATTAATATAGGAAATATTACCTACAGTCATTGATTAATCAGCACATATTATACAGGATGAAAACGTCAGTAAATGTGCCGAAAATAAAAAAAGTAAAAACTTAATGATTTTTATGTGTACAAGATAGATATTTAAGTGTCTTACGAATTCATCAAGACAATCATATTAATATTCATTATTGACGATTTTAAAAACACGAAATGAAAACTACGCTAACCTCAATTAAAGTTGTACCTACTGATGTCAGTACCGTAGTTAAACTAGGGGTCTCGGAAGTTTTAATACCACAGATAATTCTAGAACTAGAGATAGTCTTCGTTTTGTAATAACGTTTTAGCTCATGCTTTAAACTTAGTACTAACCCCAGTACTATATTAAGTCCGTGTTTCGGAATAAGGCCGTAAGATTTTTCAAATACAAGCGAGATTTGTTTTATTCACGAATGATGCCGGGCCGATAGCGTGTACGTGAATGGTCTCGCCTACTTTCTCGTTCTAACATACATTAAAGTTGTTCAAAACGACTATAAATCAATAGCTTGCTGTAGACTATAAACTACAAATTTCTAGCGCGCTATTAAATACGCTATGTTATAGCGTGTAGGAGGCGGGAGAGCGCGTTAAGTTATGCAGCACGCTATAACTCTTAGCACGTTACATTACATATAGTTCGTTGGATAGACCGCGTGCTATATAAGAACACTATTTCGTAATAAGTCGCATTATAGATTTAAAATAAAATAAAGCGGTAGAGAAAAAACTAACTAATTAACACTTTCAAACTTTTCAGGCTTACGACTATACATAATCGATGTAAACGTTATTTTAACCTTAATGTAAATTAAACATCAATTAAAGTCGTATTTATTGATTGTATATGCAAAAATAAACTATTTACATACACTATTATATACACTTTTGTATCTATATTTTATTTACATTTAAAAACATTATATAGGTTACTTTTGTAGCAGACAACTGTGTCCTTAGATTATTTATAAATATACAGTATACACCAAGTAAACAACGTCTAAACACTAAATTAGGTCGCGCGCGATGAATAGCGTGCTACTAGATCAAATTTGCGTCACACGTCCACTCCCAACAGCGCTACTGCTAAAACTAGTTCCCGCTAGATATTAATACTTATTAGCGCCGAAGCGCCATAGCGCCATGGCGACTACTTACATAGCACGCGCTATGCACTATGGAGAGATAGCACGCTGTAATATGGCGCTATGCGCTATATTAACCGCCATTAACATACACTATGCTCCTTCTCTTTTGCATTGCCAATATATTCTAACGTCAGTTTATACTAAATCTATGGTTTGATTACATGTTAAAGTCCATTCTGACTGAATTTTCTGCAAATGTAAATAAGAACTGTTTTGTTTCTCTAATTTATTAAGAAGTTTAATATATTTAATACTACGATATACACAAAGTGCAATACTTAAAGGATAGATAAATTGCTTTTTACTTATAAGCTAGTGCTTGACAAAAGGGCCAGCGTAATCATACTGTCTTACCCGGTCGTAGATACGATAATGAGGTTCATAGGGCAAGTCACCTCAAGTGATTAATTTCTGTATTATATATTTAAATTAAATTCCATGCATTCTATAGAAGGTTTTGTTGTTGTAATAAATAGTGTATAAATTCTTACTTTCGCTTTTTCACTATCTATCGAATAAAAATAAAAAACACTATCGAATGCACTAGTTGGTTAATATAGCCCTGACAAAATTAAATAAAACTTTTAACCTGTTTTTGGTTATTGATATGAACGATAAAAATAATGCTAAGTGGTTTACTTTGTTGCTGATTAGAAAAGTATGGCTGTTATTTTATGTTGAATGAGGTTATAAAATATAAATCAATCTGTTTTAATATAATATTTCATAAATTTCCTATTTAAAGGTCAAAGAGCAAAACTCCTGAGAAATTATCACCAGCAAAGTCGAAGTCAAGATCACCGTCACCACGACGGAAACAAACCTCATGGAGAAGGGAACGAGACAGAGACAGTAAGTAAAAAAAAGTAGTGTTATGATAATATATAAAAAAATCTATAGGCTTGTTTGTTACATCGCTCATGCGATTTGGTTAGGTTTTCTTTAGTCAGTCTCTTGAATGCCATCATTTAATAATGTAACCATTTCATTGGCTTAACGCTTACTTAGCTTAACTTACTTGTTTGCTAGAACTGTATGAGTTGTTCTCAAATGTAATCTATAGCAGATATAGACAGCAATAAATTTGAAGTAATATTATTGTACAAAACCTTGCTGAGTAAATCCCGGCAATGTTGCTAGAACTTTGACGAGGAGCGAAGAGCAATAAAGTTCATAACCTCTTAAAACCTAGACTTAAAAGAAATGAGTAAGAAAGTATTTCATGCTAATTTCGAGTTCTTTTAGGTTAAAATAAAACTCAGGATTTGTTTTTTTAATATTATTATTATTAGAAAATAAAAAAATGGGTACACATATGTGCACTTCGGGATTTAAGGACCAAAGTTTTTGGTAGTATGATAACTTTCAAAGCAGTTATTTTTCAAAATGCATAAAAACAATTGACACTTTACGCACATGATGCGGCACCGTGAAGAACATAATGGATGTCTGCATTTAGATGCGAATTTAGATTCCTCATAACGAGGCAGGTGCCCCACATTGTCTAACCTAACTTCTGGTTGTGATACAACCAGCCGGTGTTGCTTTACTGGAGGTCTAATGCAGACTTCTTCTCTCTCAGTAGGACTGGGACTGGGTACATCTGTACAGCTAGTGCAGCTGGGCCTTGAACTGGTGCCAGTGCCAGTGAAATGAGGATTAATTCGCCCACCATCATATCAACGCTTTACCTAAATTGATCCTATATTCCAGTAATCCCAGCTTATCCTTGCGCAGAATGTCTTCTTCCTTACAGCAGCGTGTGTACATTATCCAGCAGTTTACGACTACTAAATCTAAAAAGTGAGAAAAGACTCGAACCGTCCATTTCCTTGTACGCATTGCGCTTCTATAGTATGCTATCAATCTGTCACATAAATCAATACCACCCATACAAGTATTGTAATTTTTTACAACAGCTGGTTGATTGACGTCAATCTTCCGTTTCTGGACCTTGCACCAACGCTTGCAAGTATCTGCAGGCGTACTCCCTACAGATGTGGAGAGTATTGTTACAGCTTTTGTATCCTTTCACTTCAAAATACATATATTTTCATCACTTCTTACTTTCTCATCCCATTCACCTCTTACTAACTGCTTGTCTGTCTTCAATTTACTATTAACTGTTCCAATTCTATTCGTCATAAATGTCCCCGTCAAATAGATCTCTTTGTCGCTTTTATTCAAATGCTCAGCCAGTTTTAAACTCGTAAAAAATCGGTCAGTGTAAAGAACACATCTGCTGTGTCAATCGTGCGGCAAAGAATTTGAACAATGCCGCCACCCAATCCAAGACTTTGCATGATATCTAAGGGAATGGTATTCTTACAACATAAATCTCAAAGTCCTACCAGGCCATCTCGAGCTGCTAGCACAAAGGTTTAGTGTCCAAGTGGATTAGGTTTAGACGATACGTATTGGCGGTACTCGCATCTCCCAGAAAAGGGAATCATTTGCTTACGAACACAGATCCATTCAATTCTAAAAATCAAATCTACCCACATTATTTAGTTCAGTTCAGACTAGTTCATTGTGTGAAGTTCGAAACGTGTGCGATAATTAGTTGTGATTTTATAAATTTATTAAAGTAATCGGACAAATTTCCGGAATGGAGCAAATCGAAGTCATTAATACCTCCATAAGAAGGGGTATCATCAAAAGCCACCAATACATGGTCAGTACATTAGGCGATTGTGCTCTGTCATATTCATCCGTCAAAAAATGGATAGCAGAATTTAAGCGTGGTAGAGAGAGTGTGAAAGATGAACCCCGCTCTGGAAGGCCTTCGACGTCAACTACTGACGAAAATATTAAAAAAAGTACTTGATTAAATAATGGGAGACCGCAGATTAAAAATTAGAGAGATAGCCGAGATTATAGACATCTCTTATGAACGAACTCAAAACATCATTGTCAACGAGTTGGGTTTCCACAAGGTGTCTGCGAGGTGGGTTCCGCGACTGCTTTCAGTTGAACAAAAAAGGACGCGATTGACTATTTCACGCGACTGTTTGGAGTTATTTGAAGCCGATGCAGATGATTTTTTGAATCGTTTTGTTACTATGGACGAAACATGGGTTCATTACTGTACACCGGAAAACAAAACAACAATCAAAACAGTGGAGAAGACCTGGTTCACCACCCCCTAAAAAGGCTAAGTCGATTTTGTCGGCAAATAAGGTGATGGCTTCAGTATTCTGGGACTCGAAAGGTGTGATTATGATTGATTATCTTGAAAGGGGTCAGACTATAAACTCTGATTACTACTGCACCTTACTACGTCGTTTACGAGAGGAAATAAAAGAAAAACGTCGAGGAATGCTCAAAAGAAAAGTCCTGTTTCATCAAGATAACGCCCGTATTCACACGTCAGTACAGTCAATGGCTGAAATTCACAACTGTGGCTTTGAACTGTTACCGCATCCGCCGTATTCACCTGATCTGGCACCATCAGACTTCTTTCTGTTCCCTAACCTAAAAAAGCACTTGGGAGGTCAAAGATTTTCGACAAACGACGAGGTCAAAGCAGCTGTAGACGCATATTTTGATCTAAGGAAGAATCATTTTTTTTCGGTCTAAATGCTTGGAAGGGGAGGTGACAAAAGTGTATTGAACTTGATGGTGATTATGTAGAAAAATAAAAATAAAATATATGTGTTTATTTTCTTGGTTAGGCCGAGTACTTTTCAATCCACCCTCGTATCTATCGACATATGTTTTGACCGAGGTAATGTGTGGCACTTATTCAAGATAGACTCGATGACAGGTCGTATTTTTCATAGCTTATCAAGAATATAGGGGTGGTCTGAAGCCGCAAAGTGTATAAAATTGCGAAGCTCAAAAAATCTATCGCATCCCTAATAATCGGCACGCATAGATCTCTATTCCAGTAGAGCTTGCCCTGTGGGTATTTCAGAGTACCCATCATCGAAGGTACACCGGAAAAACGGATCAATTAATTAGAATTTGTATTAACTGATCGAAGATCACGCTTTTGTGCCGAATACAAGTTCGTTTGCTCTGCAACTAAATCCCAAAAATCTTGCCCCAAATATTCAAAAAACAGCAATCAGCTTTCAGAGATAAATACAGCGTATTTATCTCTGAAGAACCCTGGGAACTTATTTCATCATCCGCTATATCTGGACCCCGGCTTGACATCTCTTTAGTACGCCAAAACAACCTCGGTGTACTCTGAATCACCTCTTCCGTATGTTCTTCAGATGGCCCCTCGTCTTCAACTTCGTTAGATTCCTCCGGCCGCTGAAGATCTCGAAGGTCTTCTGGAGGCAAATACTCATCGTCGTCATCATCATCATAAAAAATCAACATCGCTATCATTCAATAATCTCTATTTCTTCCTCATTCATCGCCATACTGAAATCTCCTACAGTAAAAAAAATATATAAATATTAGATACTGAGGTACACATATGTGTAACAAAAAAACATCGAGGCAATATTAGTATAAGAAAACAAAAAAAACTGGTACTTACTTTTGCATACCTTGCTCCAGATGTTTGACAACAGAAGTACACCACTATTTCGTTAAAATCTACGTAATTTTATTTTTAAACGGTTTTACATTAACAAAAGCAGGAACGGTTGAAAAAAATTCCATCTGTCAAATTCAAACGAATAATTTTAAAGTTCATTGATTCCGTATACGCCATCTCTGACTTTTATTTGAACCTCCATGCTTATAGAAAAACGTTTTAGTTTTCAAAAATGACAATAGATTTAGAATTATTACATCTTTTTTCCCCAACAAATGTAGGTGCACGTATGTGTACCTGTGGTCTTAAGAGGATAAACATGAAGCAATAGACCAAGCAACATTGCACTGCATTGTACGGCCGTAGATAACAATTTGACGGCTATATTTGCAACTAGAATATCACAAAACTAGTTCATTCATGAGTAAAAGTTAAAAAAGTAAAGTTACAACATATAATACGTCCCACTGCTGGGCACAGGCCTCATTTCTGAAAAGGTTTTAGGGCAAGGAAGTTTCCGCCGTGCTGCCCCAATGCGTGTTGGCGAATTTCACATGTCTTCGAAATATTTTTTTTTCTTATTCCTCGGACATGCAGGTTTCCTCACGATGTTTTCCTTCACCGCCGAGCACGTGGTAAATCAACATTTAAAATTGCAATTAACAATTTAATTGGTGCCAGCGGGGATCGAACCCGGGTTACTCGCGTTCTGTTATATTTACAGCGAGCGTTAACCATCTGAGCTACCACGGCTCTTTTTCATTCGTGAGTGCTTTAAGGTAATAATTAAAAAGGTTATATGAGTGGCTTGTTTCAGGTCGTCGACGGTCACGGTCCAGATCGCGGTCACGGTCACGAAGCAAATCCCGAGAGCGAGAGCGAGATCGTGATCGCCCTCGAGACTCACCTCCTAGATCGCGACGCGTCGAACGTTCCAGATCACCAACTCCACCAAGTTTCCTGTTAGCTTCTTATTCAATATTATTTTAAATATTCGAAATATTGCCATAACTATATAATAACGGTGTAAAAGAATCCATTCACCAACCACTTTAGAAAGTATTGGAGCATGAATGGTTGGACCGTTGCATGCTCCTATGTTTCTCTGGAACAAGATAATGTAATACCAATTTCCCCAAAATATTTCTCAGACATGTAGGTTTCCCCACGATTATGTTTTCCTAAAGATATGTTTTACAGTAAAATACTGCATGAAGATAACCATAACTATTTAATATTTTCAAGTATGTATAGTTTGTTTGGTAGGATAATAAACGCAAATTAGGTAGCAAAGAACCATTCATTACGGCGCTTAGATTTAAAAATCTGTGTAGGTCGCACGCGGCGATCTTTGATGTCGCGGCGGCGCCTTTGATAATATGCGGCACGTACCAAGGAGGCGTGGCACAAAGGCGACCGTATCTAAGCGAACAGGCTATAATATTCATATTTGATGTTTTAGCACTGCTTCATTTCAAACATCATCTAGTGGTTTGGACCCCACTAACAAAGGTCACCAGTTGCTACAGAAGATGGGCTGGAGTGCTGGAGGGCTAGGTGCCTCTGGACAAGGCATAGCAGAGCCCATCAGTGGAGGTACAGTTCGAGACAAACAAGATCAATATAAAGGTAAATATTATCAATTTTCGTGTCTAATAAAAGTTGTAACTGCGATATCTGGATCTTTCCAAGAAATTTGACTGTGTTCATCACGATAAATTAATTAGTAAACAACATTATGAGCATTTTAGACATATTATATATATATATATATATATATATATATATATATATATATATATATATATATATATATAAAAGTCTTAATCAATGTTATGATACCTTCGCGGGTCGTTAGTATGAATGGGTGTTCCTCAGGCGAAATTTAGGTCCATTCCTGTTCTTAATGTATATAAATGACTATTTTACCTTGTAGGATTACATCCACGATATAGTATCATTTGCTGATGATATCCTATTCATTTTCAAACTCAGATGGTAATTATTAAATAATGATGTGAAAATGCTCTATCGAAATTAGTAAATTTTAAGGTTTAACAATTAATTAATACTTTTAGGCAACAAAACAAAATGTATAAAATTTTCAATATCTAATATGAAACGTTTGTATACCTGTGTGGTTTTAAATGGAGCGGGGGATAGAATCTTCTGGATTCCACTATTTCTTGTTATTACTACTGTACTAATGATGTCTCAATTCATTTAAATTAACAAGCAGACTTTGTTCTGTAGCATGGACAACAAAAAATATTAGAAGTCTTATTAAAATTAAAACAGCTAATTTGATTGAGTTTCTTAGGGGGAAAAGTTCAAACTTTAAAGAAATAAATATTATGTTAACTTTAACCTCGCAATACATGTTTATGAAAATATAATGTAAATAGAAACCACACATGAACATAAAACATAAAATAGGTTTTACAACAACAAATACTATAACATCCATACTGTAAATACTAGTAACAAATGCAAGCTTTACTGGGCTATATATCTATGGGGCATTGTATATGCTTTTACAAATCATAGAAAGTATTTAATGTTGATTCCAATCAATCAGGTCATTAATATCATTAAATAAAAACTGTGTAAAAATTGAATACCCAACGAATTTATTATAAGCCCATGGGAATGAGGTGATCACTACCATACTCGTTCCTTGGTGCATAATGTTATTGTAAAATTTTATGTTTAAAAATAATTCTATTGATTTTCCTACTGGTTTTTCCCAGGACGGAGGTATTTTCTGAGCCATAGCCATTGCAAAAAAATAACGTATGTTTAATAAGTATTATGTAATAATCTACATTAAATAAAAAAATAAAACCCGGTTTCGATCCTCGCCGGCACCAAAAAAATTGTTAATTGCAATTTTAAGTGCCGATTTACCACAATCTCGGTGGTGAATGAAAACATCTTAAGGAAACCTGCATGTATGAAAATATTTCGAAGACATGAAGTCCAACACGCATTCGGGCAGCGCGGCGGACACTTCCTTGCTCTAAAACCCTCTCAGAAATGAGACATATATAGGCCGCCTCTTTGATTAAATTGAAATAAAAAAAAATATTTTATTTGTTTGCATATGAACATAAACACTTAGTTCATTCACCAATATTTCAAGTAAATTAAAATTCGGTTATTGGCCTCCAAACTCACACCAGAAAACCCCGAGAACATCCAAGAGACGTGAATGCGAGTTTATATTACGAGATTGAGAGTTTTCTGCATAGAGATACATATTTATGGGATGTTAAGTGACATAGGCTAGGTTATGTCCTGGAAAATGGATGGTTCTTGTGGAATAGATCTGGAGTGATAACTCCGTAATTACCTCATTATGCTCTCTTTAGGTCTTGAAATAACACCAGCTGTAATTTTTCCGAGTGGCATTTTTCAACCTCCATACGAGCATAGCGGTGGTTAAAAGCTAATACTATATATTATAATTATATTTTTTCACTGCGAATTACTTTATTTGTAAGAAAGATTCCAATTATGCAGAAAAATAAGTTATGGTAATTTTTTTGTAGGTGTTGGCGTAAACCTCAATGATCCGTACGAAAATTTTAGGAAAAACAAAGGTGCAGCATTTATTACACGAATGAAGGAAAGAGCACTTGAACGATCATCGTGATTGATTATAGAATAGACTGTTTTGTAAATGTATAAAATGACGAGTGTTTGTGTGGCTGGGATATGATTTATTTTATCTAAATCATCTTAAATAAAGTTATAAAATTTGTATCAATGACTTTTTATTTTATACAACATACCATACTTATAATTCAAAGTCATCTTCATAATTATCTTTGAATTCAGAAAGATTATCTAAACGCTCCTTAAATTCAGCTTCTTCGCAGCCTTCTTCCAGAAACTTATGTAATTTAGCAAATTTTATTCTGCTCACTTCCCTGTGTAGTTTTTCAATCATCTCAGATAAAAAGGTTCCATTATGGTACCCTGCTATAACAGGACAACTCTCAACTTTCACTGAATTATTTTCATTGGAAATAAACCCATTTTTATTTAAGCTCTTTGAAAATATTTGTGGATATGGTGTTTTTAATTCTAATGGCTGTTCACATACCGTTACATTTGTTGCAGAAAGAAAATTATTTGCTTGAAAATATAATTCAAACATTTCTTTAACATTATTGCAGCTATAAGCTGGCAAATTCATTTGCTCTTTTGCTTCTTGCATTGGTGCTTTCAAATAATTGTCTGGTATTCCTCTAACAGTAATAAGCTGAAAAATTTTATCCGTAGCTATTTTACAACTGGGTGTTATGGGTGTGTAAATAGGTTTTTTGTTAGTATTTAAATAATCTATCAAATATTGTGATTCATTCATGGTAAATGGAAGTCCAAGTGAAGCTGCAGCCATCTTTCTGCCAAAACCTGTCATATCAGTACATACATCTGATAATGTATAAAAATTACTTTTATGTCTATATTTCTGACTAAGCGTGTCCATGGCAGATGCTAAAATAGCAGATGAGTGATAATACAATTCTGCATTATAGTTAAGGTACTCAAATGCTCTTACATTACCAGGTTTTCTCCATCCTTTATCTCCAGTACAAAGAGGAACAAAAAATGTGGCATGCTGAGATAGTTCTTCAATAGAAAAAGCAATGTTTACTAATCTTATTGTATCTTTTATATTAGATTTTTCTCTTTCCTCTTGTGTTGTGGGATTATTATCAGAAAAGTAAGAAGCAATTATTGGATGAGCCAGTATTGGTTTAGAATATTCATCAGCCAGATGTTCAATACTGCCTAGAGCAAGTCCAGAAAAACTATCTGTGCAATCAAAATTCACTTCAAAACCTTGCATGCTATCACATTCCTCGACATATTTACGGATCTTATCTGAGAATGTTTCACCAAATTCCTGTTTCCATATCGATTTTCCAGTGTGGTAAAGATCAAAACTTACCTAAAATAGATACTTAAAACATTTATCAAAATATCGATTATTATTTAGAATTTAGTTTTAACCTCTAATTTTTATGTTGTGATTTGATTTATTGGAAATTTATTGTTCTACAGCACAATAAGCTTGGTGTGTATATAGATATGTCCACCTGTTGAGATACTTTTAACTAAATAACATGATAATGTTCTCAAGCTAATGTGGCATTCTTTTAAAACATTCTATACCATTTTCTCAACGAAATGAAGTAATTTACGTATTATTATCCTTTCCATTTTATTTTTAAATTATGTCATAAGGTAAAAGGATATAAATTTATTTGTAGTTGACCAGACATTACATCAGAAGTTTTAAATAAAAACAAATTGAAATTATTATGTATATTTTAAAACTAAATAAACCTTTCATACATACGAGGGGCGATCCAAAAGTAATGATAATGAAAATAAAACACGGTAATTAAAGTTAAAATAATATAATTTATTTTTCTACATTGACCCTCAAAATGTCAACTCGATTTTTCTTTTGCTCGTCGGTTAACATTCTGGGTACCCAATGTGCAGAGACCTTTTTCATCTCTCACATATTATTGTCTTCAGTGAGGGACATGGATGGGCGTCGATGTTCATCTTCAGTGGATGTTCTGCCCAGTTTAAACTCCTTGGCCCAGCGTGCAACTGTAGAATATGGAGGAACAGAGTCCCCCAATGTTTCCACTAAGTCACTGTGTATGTCTCTAGAAGACATTTTTTTTTAAACAGAGGTACTTGATGACAGCTCTAATTTCGTTTTTCTCCATGTTGATCTTTGACAGTTAGTATTCAAATGAATGTATCTCCCGGAAATCGTGATCTATTTATATGATTTAAGCTATATATAATAAGATATAAGCAAGCAAAAAATATTTTTTTTGGAATTTTATGCGGACCTGAAGTAACCGATTATCATTACTTTTGGATCACCCTTCGTATTGTATAGTGTAAAAATGATCCAAAGTTCAAATTCTGAATATTTTGGTGGTGCTAGTTGTACTAATTCTATTTTAGCTTACATTTTTATCATTTAAGAATACATAAAAAAGACAGTTATTACTACCCCATATTATCATCTTGTGAGTTTCGTCAGAGGCTATAAAGGGAAACAAATCAGGAGATGAGCAGCACTTCCTAACAACGACAAAAATAAAAAAAACTGAGGTTGCCAACTCGCCTGCCAAGCATGGCAACCATGGCAAATATCCACTATGAGGCATTCTATGAGAGAGGCCTAAGTTCAGCAGTAGACTTCAATATGCTGTAATGGTAATAGGCACAAAAAAGATCACTGTGGCGAATTATTGTACTAATATTTAACATTGTAACACCAGATAAGTTCACAGCTGGCTTGTCTAAGAGAATTACGACCAATTACTTTGAGAATGCACTAATTATTGCCCATACTTACCTCAATGGGCAAACAAGTTGGTGAATGCAGAACACCTTCAACCTGGTAATGGATTTTTCCATCACCAGTGAATGAAATTTGGGTTCAGCATTTATAATATGAGATTTGCACCATCACACTGAATCAAAAGCCTCATCCTGTGAAATGTACTGATTCATGCGGTGCATACGTAAACATTAATTATCATTATTCATTGATCAGAAGAGTCGTAATTTCTGTAACACTGCTCAGCAGAATTGGATTCACCAATTGATTTATTGGTTGAAGAGTTAACCAGTTGAACAAGTTTCCATCATTAGTTCATCTTTTCTTTAATAAGATGTCAGCGAACTCCATTTTAATGAGGTGCAGTGCCGTCTTCAGCATCAGGCTGGTGTAAAACTGCAGAGATGTGAATTGACCAATAAAAGTGGTGCATATTTTTAATGACACCATTGATAAGTATTTCTTAGTATTTTGATGTTTGAAGGGACCACAAAAAAAGAAGTTGGATGAGTAGAGGGCCACTCCACCCAAGAATAGATAATTGCAAAAACCCTCTGTAACTCGGTGCAGCCAATTGCTGTTGGATAAACTCAGGTGTTGTGTGATTTGAAATGCTTATTAATGTAATTAAAAATAAACATATTTTATCACTATTTTAAGCAGTTCCATTTATCTAAATTATTCAGTACACAACTTACAGAAAAAGTCACAAATTTCAAGTATCTAAGAATTATTTAGATATCAAGTCAAACTGGTGTGACAATGGGCAATTGCATGTAGCACAAAAACAAAATAATATGTTTATTTGTTGCTCACAAGTAACACATTAAAAAGTGTTAACAATTTCTTATTGTGTCCAATATGATCTACCATTAATTGGCATACAAATATTTAAATGGAAATAAATTGGCTGATTAATTACAATGTCAAACTATTACCAATTTCAAGGTCAATCATCAAATCATAATTGTATAATTTTAGTAAATATCAAAAGAAAAAAAAATCAAAAGAAAGAATTACAATTTTGTAGATAAAACAAAATCAATTCAAAATTTTTCATGAATTAATTCTTGAATTGAGTAGTAAACTTTTTCAACTAATAAAGCTTTACGTTTTTTTTTAGTCTACTACACAAGTCAATGAAATATGTTGCCATAAGATAAGACAACTTGAATTGACATAGAATAGTTTTACATTCCTCTTAGTGGATATGAAAGGGTGCTCCGGTCCAGCTATTGGAGAATTAATCATTTCAAAAAGCACAAGTCAACACTACTTTGGGAAGCACTTAGATCAATCGACTGCCACATCTGTGATTATTAAGAGCCTCACCAAAAAAGTTTAGTGATATTAAACAATGTAATTGTATACTTGCTGGGGGTGTGTGTGCATGTGTGTGTGTGTGTATGTGTGTAGAAGTGTACATCTATATATATTTTCATCCTTATAGGCATTTTTACTCACCCTGCATGTATCACTGGAATAACCCTATAGAATACATAATCGCCTAGGCGAGTATCACATTCCTTAGCTTGCAGTGTAAGTGGATGATTAGTTATCTGCCCTTAGACAGCTTACGGGGCCTGGTATGGTGGTCAAAAACCAAGAAATTGCAATGATGCCAAACACTGATCGTGGCCCTGGAAGTCAATGCTCAACCTCACTTTCCTGAACATGTTAATTCAACAGAACACATCGCTATCCGCCGTAAGACTAAAACCTTTAAATCTCTATAACAATACCAGAAATCCACACACTAACGTCTTGGATGAAATCTGTAAATAAATAATAATCCAACAAGCCAAAAGTGACAGGATTATGACAGATTGTATTTGATAAAAAATATGAACTTCTATCATCTGAAAACAAGAACCCTTAAGAACTTAAAATTTTCACTGATAGATCTGAAACTTAATCAGGTGCTGGTTCCGTACCTTTTCAAGACTTAAATATAAATATAGAAACACTAGGAACTGCTAGGACTTTACAATACTATTTACCAGGCTGAATGTATGACAGCTATCCAGGCAGTGTCAGTCATCACAGCAAAGAGGGTAAGAAATCATTTGATCCACATATTTTCCAACAGCTCAGCTGTACTACAATCACTAACCCTTCAAAACTACAGTCCCTAACCCTTGGATAAGGGACTACAGTGAGTTGAAGGGCACCAAAACTTCTTATGAGCTGGCCCAGAATCATTCAGTATTGAAAGCTGTAGGGCCTGAACCCATAGTTGCACTCTGCTTCATGTATGTGAGGACAGCAGA